CGACACTACCGACTTGATTGCGCGGCGAGCCATAGCACTTCAGAAACGGTCGGAGGACCTTTCGAAGATCTATTCGAAGGTCTACGAAGCGAGGCGTGAGGCGGCCCGACGCTTCGAACGAGAGCACCAGTACACGATCGAAGACTTTGACTTCCAGCGTGGGGACTTAGTCCTCGTCCGAAATACAGCGATCGAAAAAGCCTTGAATCGTAAGATGCGTCCACGATACCAAGGGCCTATGGTCGTCGTATCTCGGAAACCGAGGAGGTGCCTACATCATCGCTGAACTAGACGGCACGGTCCTCGACAGACCTATCGCCGCTTTTCGAGTCATTCCCTACCTTGCTCGAAGATCGATCACGATTTCACTCGAACACCTGGATGTACCCTTCGAACGCTTGCGTGAAATGGAACAGTCAGACACACTGGGCGATGACGAGCCAGACGCGTCCGGCTTACCCGGCGAACTAGACGATGAATCGTCAAGTTCAGAAGACGAAGAATGAGTCTGTCGAGAGACTCGCGCAGTATACCCTTTATGCTTTAAGGACACCCTCGTGCTTTTTCACTTCAATCCTTCGAACACCGTGGCAGCGGTTAGAAACGAGATATCTATTATACAAGACACGAGAGGGGGACGTTACACCAGCAGATATACAAGACTAACGCTTACGGGACGCCGAACGCAAACACGGAGTACAAACACAACGGACGGTACTACGAATACGACCTACTTCGAACCCTTGCCCTTCGAAGGTCCCGCCGATGGGCCGCAGCAGGGATCGAAGGCCCCACGCGCGACGGCCGTAACTCGACGAACAATTGGTCGACGCGACGACCGTAGTACTCTTGCAGCCCTCGAGCATGCGAGTTCGAGGCCCATGAGGTTGAGCGAGGCCTCCACGTTGCCGATGCGTTCGTTGGTCGCCGAGAGTGCCGCGCGAGCCTCGGCGAGCGAGCGGACGGGGCGCCCTGAGACTGGAGAATCGCCGATATGTCGATCGGCGGGGCCTGCGTCTGTGCGGCGTGCAGGGCCGCGGCGGCACGGGGTGGAGGGGCGTGCGCGACGGTACGAAGCCTGCCGAGCCCGAGGCAGGGACCGTGACAGGAGCGGGCGCGGGGGCAGCGGGTTCCTCGGAGTCGCCCCGCTTACCTACGAAACGGAGATGTCAGCTACGAACGGCACCGAAATCTTCGAAGAATTAAGGCGAACTTACCGGCACGACGAGCCTTGCGAGTACCAGACAAAGTGGCGGCGCCCCAGTAGCAGCCCTGCTGGTCGTGCAGGCACTGGTTACACACCACCGCGTCGGCCTCGAAGACGCATTCCTTCGAGGTAGCGTAGCCGGCGGCGCAGCGATCGCACTGAGTCGCGAACAGTTAGCAGAATCAAACGAAGAAAAACGTTAGGGCACGTACCGACATAGTCCGGTCACGGACTGTAGTCGCGCGAGCAATGAGCTTGCGGACGGCGGTGTCCGTAACGTCGGGGCCGAGCCGTCAGCGGGGGCCTTGCGCTTTTTGGTCTTCTTCGAGCCTTTGGGCTCGGGGACCACCTCGACTTCGGGCGACTCGGCGCGAACGGTCGACACATCGGAGGCGGTGGGGGACGGAGCACGCAATTTACCTTTTCCCCGGACACCCGACCGGCCACGTCGTGGCAAGGCCTTCTCCTCGCGACGCTGGCGATCAGCCTCGCGCTTGTGCGCCTCGGCGGCCTCCTCGAGCTCGGCGGCCTCGCGACGTTCGAGTTCCTCGGCCTTGGCGGCCTCGCGTCGTGCGCTTTCCTCGGCCTCGGCGGCCTCCTGTCGCTCGCGGCTCTCGCGCTCTTCGGCCTCCTTGCGCAGCTGGGCTTGGTTCGCTTCCCAGCGACGGCGGTCCTCGGCCTCCTTGCGCGCGTGATTGATAGCGGCGTCGAGCAGTGGCCACTGCATGTTCTCGGCGCATTGGCGCGCGGCCTCCGGATTGGCGTGAGTGGCGAGGACGAGCAGCCGTCCCAACGCGTTCGCGTAACGGGCAGCGAGGGCCGCGCCCTTAGTCACGCGAGTGTACCGATTCTTCGAACACTTAAATTAACAAGACTTAAACGAGACGGACGCGACTTACCATGGCAGCGAAGGCGCCCTCAATCCACTCTTCGATCGCCTCAGGGTTCTCTGGGACGAGGTGCGCCACGACCCAATTGGCGAGCGGAGCCATTGGGCTCTTCGGGTCGTGCGGAACGGGGAAGCCGGTTTTGGGATCCACGGTGTAGTCGGCGTCCGACGCAGGCGCGCCGGCGAGATCAGGGACGGGCGCGGGAGCGGAGGCAGGCGAGGCGGACATGGAGAGACGGACGAAGTCAAGAGCGAGCGGAGCGGGGGATCAAGCGAAATTCGGCTGGAGACCCCGCCGCTATATGTGTGCTCGAGCTTTGTGGGTCCACCTACCGCATTCGAGGCGCTGAAACAGCGGGGATCATCCCCATCAGAACCAGTCCAAAACGGGAAAGAAGCGCTCACCTCCCGTCCAATGGGATTAATTCTGCGGATCAACGTGATCGAGGCGTGCCCTGCCGTTCGCTAATCGCTTCTTGAGTGCTCGCCATTGGACAAGACCTTCGGACGGCCTGGCGCGGAAGCATCTCGATGATCGCGGACGCAAATCAAGCGCCGGCGTGTTCGAGCCGACCGAGGACGGTCTGGATCTCAGTAAGGGGGAGATGATGAGCCCTTAGCTCACCTACCCACCGAAAACGCCATTTACGGTCGATACAACGGTACACTAAGTCAGAACGGTCGACGCACTGCCCGTCCGTTCGAGGGAACCGCCCGATGTTCGAAGCTCAAGCGTCAATGTTCGGAACCCTTAGCGGCGAAGTCACGCGGTTTAGAAGAGTCACTACATTGGTAGGACTACGGACAAGTACACGGCTAGGTCAAACTAACTAGTGACGGCCTCGGCAACTCTCGTATCTATGGCCTCGACCTCCACACCCATGACCACCACCCCTACCCCTACGAACAGACGGACCGGCGTCGAAGCTACGGTCAGTGTTGACGCGCTCGAGCAGGTTTTCGAGCAACCCGACGAGGGTGCCGTGCGTGCGGCGCTGGTCGACTGCGATGTTGTGAATCGCTCGACCCATGGACTCGAGGTTGTCGGGCAGCTGGCGGAAGTCGGACAGGATCAACGTCTCGCGCTGATACTGCGGGTTCGCGAGAGGACGACGCTCGGCCTGGTTGACTTGTTCGAGCAGTACCAAGGTCTCGGACCACGCGATCGTAGGGTAGGGCGAACCTAGGATGTCTCCCTGGTTGCCATCGCGGTGAAAGACCTCGTCGAGGTAACGCATCAACTCGTCGATCTCGGGGAACGACCTAGGAGCGGGAAGCGTATCGTTCGCCAGCAGGATGGCCCGGCTACGGGACTCGAACAAGAATCGCTGTTCGAAGGTCGGTTCGATGGTTCGAACGATAGTCTAAGTTCGGAGGCACGTACGATCATCCAACGGACTCCGTGAGCCCAAGCCAGCCACTCTCCGGGACTGTTGGCATCGTATCGCGGCTCGACAAGTCCCTCGGTCTTGAGGACCTCTAGGAGGCGGTAGTAGCGGGCAGCATACGCTTCGGAAGTTGGGTCGAGGTGCGGCATGTTCGTGTAAGTCAGGCGAACTCCTGCAGCTGTCTCATATCTTCGAGGACTGTCACCGGCTCCGGTTATGACCTTCGCCGTTCGGGGACGGTCGCCCGTTATGCGGAACCTGCGGAAGGCCGAGTTGGATTCTCTCATGTGTTAGTAGGTCCGGGTCGAGCGTTGTGACATTCTCCGATTGGCTGCTTTCCTTATCACTTTCATTCATCATTTCTTATTTCTCTTGGCTCTCTTGGTCTTCGGACCGTATTTTCCTGTATATACTCTGGGACTTGTTCCCTTCAAATCTCAGAGACCCCCTACCCTCTCAATCTCACCTCGCGCCGGCGAGGTTCGTCAGCCAGTCAGTACGTTCGAAAGTCAGCAAGTTCGCCAGTCAGTCAGTACGTTCGAAGTCAGTCAGTCAGTTCGCCAGTACGTTCGCCAGCTCGTAGTTGCCCCGAGAGGCTCTACACTTCTTCTCCTGCCGTCGCTCGCCTCTCTTGTCACCGTTCGTTCGACACGCCTGTCGAAACCCTCTCTCCTACCTCCGAGGCTTAGCCCTCGTCTTCGAACAGTCTTCGACATCTTCGAAGCTCTCCCACGTCGTTCGGAGTCTTGCCCGTCCTCCTCCTTCTTACCTAGACCACTGTACAGTCCCCCGTACATCTCATAGACTCAGAGGCCTCGCATACCACTGCTCGACCTCACGGTTGGGTTTTGTGTGGCTTTTGTGTTCTTTTCGGTCGCGTCAACGCGTTCGGCATGATGTCGATCGCCTCACTCATCATTGCCGGGTTTTTCTCTTGGAACGGCCCGGCCCGCTCGCGCGAGCCTTCGTAACGGTGACCATTGCCTGTGCCGGACGACTCGGATTCGCTCGTAAACCGTGGACGGCGGAAACCTCAGCGCATACCGCGCTTTCAGCAGTCAGGGTTGGTGATGACAACTTTCAGGCTGCACGAGAAGTACGTCCTACCCAAGGTGTAGCTTAGATTACTATGCAATATATCTTGTTACGAAGGGTCTACGAGTACATTGTATACACGTCAATGCTCTTGTATCCAATGCCTGAGCAACGAATTCTGGCGATTACATGGCTTCTCGCACCGCATGAGTATTTATAGCTCGTAGCGAGAACTTAGTGGCATGTGCTAATATTGCCTGCATTACGAACATATGCACAGATGGTGTGTACAGTAGTGGACGATGCTGCGAATAATGTCAGAATAGCGGAGTATGATGTGGGTTCTATGTATTGTCGAGAATACACCATAATTCTCAGGAGAGCTTTTTCCTGATAGGCTGGCAACCCGTTCTTTCACCAATGGGTTCGCCAGTTGCGACCGAGCTACGCAATTCCGAGCTGCTTCGTCTTAACTGAATCCTATTTGCCTCGCGAGGAGGCTCGAGTCCATCTGAGAGAGATACAGAGGCTCCATGACAGGGAGTCTCTTACTCTGATGACGGATGGTTGGGAGGACAAGTTGAAACACAGTGTTTATGGAACTCTGCTTGCCGAAGTTGGCTTCCGGCCTGCAGTTTTGGGCCTTGAAGACCTGTCTGGTCAAAGGGCCACAGCCGACTGTATCCTGACAGTCGTGGATAATGCATTGAAGAAGAAGGAGGTCAGTACAAGACAGGTCATTGCACTCGTAACAGACAATCCAACCACGATGGTTGCATTTCGTCGGAAATATCAAATCATGAATCCGTGGACAATCGTAAGTGGTTCAGCCATTTATGTACAATTTAGATACCTGACAATCATGTCTCGAAGACTCTGTATTGCTTTCTCCACGGCCTGAATACAATCATAGGCAAGATAGCTTCGCATCCTGTCGCGAAGGCAGCCATGACGAAGAATGCTCGCCTCGTATCATACTTCAATCAATCACATTACTGGGGCGGGCAGCTCGAGGAGATCGCTCTCCGACTCAAGATCACACGTGGAATGAAGACGAACTTCCCGACCCGATTTTACGGGCTGGTACTGCAGGCCGTGAGTGTGCAAAGCTACAAGTATGTGAATATACACCAGTTTCATGACATATACTTACTATGACACTCAGAGCCACCGTGCAAGAGTTATGCCTGCGCGAAGATGCCCAGCGTGCAACGCGAGGCCTGACACCTGTCAGTGCGGATGTCATCAGTATCTGTATCAGGGACATCACACATTGGGACCGCAACGATCAGCTCATTCGCATCTGCAAGCCCATGGTTGATGCAATTGGCAACCTCGAGTCGCGCGACGCCAATCTCGCCGACTGTATGCTGGAGCTTATCTGGGCAGAACGAGCCATCACTCGCCTCGCAATAACGGAGACGGATGATGTAGATTTCGCGTACCATGCGAAATCCACTGTCCGTC